TCCATTGCACTCTCACTAAAGGATAACACTTAGACCTCAACTTGCGGAGCTGCTGGGCTAGGATAGCCACCGGCTCCTCCTCATAAGTCAAATCCTTGTCTAATTAGACTGAGCTAAAATCTAATACATGGGACGGATTACCATTATACTTCCAAAGCATGAAAACATGGAACATCGGGTGAACTGCCGATAAGCTGGGTGGTAGTGCATGTCTGTAGGCCACCGCACCAACTCTCTCAAGGATCTCAAAAGGACCAATATATCTAGGGCTCAACTTGCCCTCTTCCCGAACCTCATCACACATTTCATGGGTGATGCCAGCATCAAAACCCTCTCTCCCACAATGATTGCCACATCACGAGCCCTCCGATCAGCTTAACTCTTCTGCCTAGACTGGTTTGTGCGAAGCCGATCCTGAATCAACTTGACATTCTCAAAGGCGTCCCAAACCAAATCAATACCCAACAACCTAGCCTCTCCCGGCTCAAACCAACCAACTAGAGAAAGACATCGTATCCCATATAAGGTCTCATAAGGAGCCATCTGAATACTCGATTCGTAGTTGTTGTAGGAGAACTCAACAAGCGGAAGAAACTGATCCCATGAACCCCCAAAATCCATAACATAGGCGCGTAGCATGTCCTCCAAGATCTGAAAGGTGCACTCGAACTTCCTGTCCGTCTAAGAGTGGATTGTTATAGTCAACTCAACCCGTGTACCCAACTCACGCTATACACCTCTCCAGAAATGTGATGTGAACTGCGTGCCTCGGTCGGAGATAATAGATACCGGCACACCATGAAGGCGAACAATATCTCGTATATCAATCTGAACCAGCTGCTCTGAAGAATAGGTGACCTCCACCGGAATGAAATGTGCAAACTTAGTCAAACTATCCACAATAACCCACACTGCGTCAAATTTCTTCAAAGTCCGTGGGAGCCCAACAATGAAATCCATGGTAATACACTCTCACTTTCACTCGGGAATCTCAAGTCTCTGAAGCAAACCGCCCACCCTCTGATGTTCGTACTTCACCTACTGGCAGTTCAAGCACCCGAGAGACATACTCTACTATATATTTCTTCATTCTTCTTCACTAATAATGTTACGTCAATTCCTGATACATCTTAGCGACAACCAGATGAATGAAATACCACGAACTGTGGGCCTCCTCCAGAATCAACTCATGCATCCCATCCACATTGGGTACAAATATCTGACCTTGCATCGGCAACACCCTATCATCTCCAATAGAAACCTCCTTGGCAACGTCGTACTGCACTGTGTCCTTAAGGACAAGAAAATGTGGGTCATCATACTGACGCTCTCTGATGTGCTCATATAAAGAAGACCGAGAAACCATGCAAGCAAGAAATCGGCTAGGCTTTGAAACATCTAACCTCACAAGCTGATTGGCCAAGGCCTGAACATCCAATGCTAGCGGCCTACCCATACTCTCAGCATTTCTGCTCAAGGCATCGGCAACCACATTGTCCTTCCGGGGATGGTACAAAATGGTGATATCATAGTCTTTTAATAGCTTTAACCACCTCCGCTACCTCAAGTTTAGATCTTTTTGCTTAAAAAGGTGTTGTAGACTCCGATGATCTGTTCACATGACACAAGGTAATGCCTCCAAATCTTCAATGCATGAACAATAGCTGCCAACTCTAAATCATGAAGAGGGTAGTTATTCTCATGAACCTTCAGTTGCCGCAACGCATAGCCAATCAGCCTACCATCCTGCATCAATATCGGGCCAAACCTAATACATGATGTGTCATAATACACGGTGTAAGGCCATGAACATGTAGGCAATACCAACACCGGAGTTGTAGTGAAAGCAGTATGGAGATTTTGAAAGTTCAACTCACACTCGTCAGACCATCCGAAAAGAGCACCCTTCTGGGTCAACTTAGTCAATGGGGCTGAGACAGATGAAAACCCCTCCACGAACCGACGACAATAATCCGCCAAACCCAGGAAGCTTCGAATCTCTTTGTCTAAAGTAGGTTTAGGCCAATTATGAATACCTCAATCTTCTTAGGATCCACTCTAACGCCCTCGGAAGATACAACATGCCCCAAAAAGGCAATCGAATCCAACCAAAACTCACACTTTGAAAACTTGGCATATAATTGACTATCTCTCATAATCTGAAGTACGATCTGTAGATGCTGCTCATGCTCCTCTCGACAACGGTAATAGACCAAAATATCATCAATGAAGACGATCACAAAATAATCCAAATAGGGGTTGAATACCTGGTCAAAAATCCATAAATGTTGTTGGGGCATTGGTCAAACTAAATGACATTACTAGGAACTTATAATGACCATACCTTGTCCGAAAAGCTATCTTAGGGACATTCGATGCCCTAATCTTTACCTTGTGATAGCCAGATTTCAGATCAATCTTCGAAAATACTTTGTCACCCTTAAGCTGATCAAATAAGTCAGCAATCCTCTGAATAGATATTTGTTCTTGATAGTAACCTTGTTCAACTATAGATAATCTATACACATCCTTATCGAACCATCATTTTTCTTCTCGAACAACATTGGTGCACCCCAGGGCAAGACACAAGGTCTATCAAATCCCTTATCAAGCAAATCGTGCAACTGCTCTTTCAGTTCCTTCAACTCAGTTGGGGTCATATGGTATGGTGGAATAGAAATGGGTTGAGTGCCCGGAGTCAAGTCAATACATAAGTCAATATCTTGGTCGGGTGACATCCCCGACAAATCTGTAGGAAACACCATTGGGAATTCGGGCACAACTGGTACTAAATCCATAGGAAGGACCTCCACACTAGGATCATGGATATAGGCCAAATACGCTAGACACTCCTTCTCAACCATACGCTTAGCCTTCACATAAGAAATAACACTGCTGGTAGAATGGCCAGGAGTCCCCATCCACTCTAATCGGGGCAACCCTGGTATGGCTAAGGTCATCATCTTGGTATGACAGTCCAAAATGATGTGATAAGGTGACATCCAATCCATGCCTAAGTTAGCATCAAAGTCCACCATATCATAAAGTAGAAGATCTACACTAGTCTCAACGCTCCTGATAGAAATCACACGTGAGAGATAAACACGATCTACTACAATAGAATCTCCCACAAGTGTGGATACATAGACAGGAGCACTCAAAGAATCATGAGGCATAACTAGATCAAAGTAGGATGACACGTATGAATAAGTAGAGCTTGTATCAAATAAAATTGAGGCATACCTATGGAAAACCAAAACAATACCTGTGATGACGGCGTCAGATGACTCTACCTCGGGTCTAGTTGGAAATGCATAAAAATAGGGCTGGGCCCCACCACTCTGACCTCCGCCCCTCAAACGGCCTCTAGCTAGCTAGCTTCCACCTCTCGGCTGTTATGGCTGTTGAAGCTGAGATAGACCCTGACGGCCCGGATAACCAGTGTAGTATCTCTATAATGGTGGTGCATTGATCGGAGTTGAAGGTGCACTGAATGCTGGGTGATCAGGACAAGACCCATAAGAACCATGAATGCCTGAAGCATCGTGGGCTACCTGAAGAGCTGACTGAATCGACCTAGGAGTATGGCCTCTACCAAAATAACCTCTGCCTCTAGATGAAGCACCACCAAAACCACCAAAATAATGAGGCCTCTTCTCAAACACCGTCTCTATACCCTGACTATGAATCATCTCAATCCGTTTAGCAATCTCCATGGCCCTATGGAAAGAAATACCATCACCCATCTCCTTGACTATTTGTAGCCTAATACCAAAAGTAAGACCATCAATAAATCTTCTCACCATCTCCCTATCTGTGGGAATCAAAATAGCTTAATGACAGACTAGATCCACAAATCTGGTCTCATACTGGGTGACATTCATGCCATTATACTGGAGGCGCTCGAACTACCTACGGTATTCCTCTCTTATAGTGAAAGAAATGAACTTCTATAGAAATAGCTACGAAAATGGATCCCAAGTAAGTGAAAGTGAACCAGCTAGTCTATTTTGCACATGATCCTGCCACCACCTCTTGGCAGAACCGGTCATCTGGAACACTACAAAGTCGACTCTATTGGACTCCACAATATTCATGTTGCACAACACTTTGTGGAAACAGTCCCAAATAGTCCTGGGGGTCCTCAGAAAGTGTATAACCAAAGTGAATAGGAAAGACCTTGGTGAACTTTTCCAACCTCATCAATCCCTCAGAAGATATCGCGGGCCTCTCCCCGAGCTGTGTAGCAATAACGGGCTGAACTACCCCAATTGATGGAACTGTTGGAGTCTGATATACAGGATCCATCTACTCTGGAGTGTGAGTAGCAGGAGTCTATGCTTCTCCCTAGCCTGAGAGACAACTGGTGCCATAGAAAATACCCCAGCCTTAGCCACACTCTCCATGATTCCAACTAAGTAGACTAGAGCATCCTGAAGTACGGGTATAGAAATGAATCCCTCCGGGACTTGAGTGGGTCTGACTGGTGATGTCTAAACTGGGAGCTCCTCCTCGTTCTTGGTCTGAGGCTCTGTAATGGGTGTTGCTGCGCATGCTCTAGGCTGAGCTCTGCCTCTGCCTCGGTCCTTACCTCGACCCCGGCCCCTACCCCTAGTAGTGGTTGCAACAGGGGGCTCTGGCTCCTGCCTGGCTGTAGATGATGTGTGTGTTCTCGCCATCTGTGAGAGAACAAGAATATAATGGTTCAAACTTCAGTAATAGAATAAGTCGCACGATAGAGAAAGAAAGAAGTGAAGTTTCCAAAAACCCTATATTCTTTAGAAGATAAGTACATATGTCTCTGTTACAATCCTCCAAACTCTACTAAGCTTCCTCATAACTCATGAGACCTAGGCAACTTAGTGTTCTAATACCAACTTGTCACGACCCAGAATCTCACCCTCAGAATCGTAATGGTGCCTAATATTTTACTTGATAGGCAAGCTAACATTAGCTAAATTACTTAACTAGTTTTAACGATTTAAGATAAAACATTAATATTAACAAATTGTAATCAATTGAAATATACACAATAAAATACTAGCTGACGAAGTCTAAACATATCCCAGAATTTGGAGTCACGTATACATGAGCATCTAGAGTACTACAGATAAAGTCTGAACAAAATACAATTATTTGAAGCTAAATAAACAGTAAATACAGAATGGAAAGGGGACTTCAGAGATGCCGACGCCGAGCAGTTATACCTCAAGTCTCTTAAAGTAATTGAATACGAGCAGTGTTACTACGCGCCATTGGGACCCATACCGGTATCTGCACAAGAAGTGCAGAAGTATTGTATGAGTAAAACCGATCGATGTACTCTATAAGTGTCAAGCGTAATTTCGACGAAGTAATGATGAGGCTATGGAAAGTCATTTACAAATAACCTCTACGAAATAATAATAATAGAAAAACAGAATAATAATAATATCTTTCAAATTATCAACATAAGTAATTCAACAATATTTTAGAAATATCAACATAAAGAAGGTGAATGCACAAAACAATGAAGAATCACAGAATAATCGAAGAATATCTAACAACCAGAAATCTCAAACCCTACAAATTCATCAGTAGAGAACAACGAAACAACCCACATAAATGAAACAACATTATAAAGTTCATCAAATAATATAAGACCAATAAAAGCAGGTAAAACATGTGACAATTAAAGTATACAGTTACGACAAGTAAAGGTACGTGTTGTGTCTAACTTTTACTTGAGGGAATTAGAACTTGTTGAATTACTTGTTATGTGAATTATGTGGGGAAACAACATATCTGCAATGTGACAAGTGTATATTCATGTTTTTGATTATTCCATGATACCTCATGTTATATGCTTAAATTGTTTCATGTTTTTACCCGACTTCAAGGCCATATTTGTTACTTGTCATCTAATTGTTACTTGCCTTGATTTGTTTATTCCTCACATATTTTTTGCTTATTAGCTACGCAAAATGAGTCAAATCAATCTAGGGACCTCCGATTTTAATTTCGGGAATATGCCCAAGTCCAATATTACAATACGGACTTAACAAAATTGTCCAATACCGATTCGAACCGTTTACACAAAATATTGACCGTAATCAACTCTAGCCTTTTTAAGTCAAAATTTCACATAAATGCTTTTCAAAAAGCGACATATGCCATGCACGCAAACCAAGAAATATCAAACGAAGCTAATGGAGGTCTCAAAATATAGAAATAAAGGCTAGTACTCAAAACGACCTATTAGATCGTCATAGTTTCCTTTTATGCATTTATTAGTAGTTGTTGTTACATGCCATTCTTTCCGTTGCTGAGTTATTCTCATGCATTTAGTAGTAGTTGCTAATTCATGTTATCTTTTGCATTGTTAAGCTTATGTTTTGCACTTGAATTGTACTATATCATGAGGATACCTTCATTTGTTAGGTTATTGAAGATGTAGTTGTGAAAGTTATTAACATATTATGGTCTGAAGTTGTTGATTATTGAGATATCTTTCTTTATTGAGTTATTTCTTATTCATTTATTGTTATTGAGATTCTTGTACTTATTGTGGTTGATCCATGGGTTATGTATTATGGTAATATTGGTATTGCTAATTTGGCAATATTGTGGCATATGGGCACGTGTGGTGTGAGTGATGATTCTGTTGTGAAATTGATACGAATGCGGTGGTATAAAGGTGGATATTGAAATGCATGCGGTGAGATAAGGTGAGATTTATACGCGTTTTGCTAGTAAGGTAATTACTTGAAGCCACGCAGCGAGAAAAAGGAGTAAAACGCGAGTAGCTATTTCGAGAAATATTTTTAAAATAAATGCAAGACTCACGCGGTGATATAAGAAATATTGTGATTATGACTTGTGAAATATGAATATGAGGTGTGGTATCTCGGTGGTGATTCTTGTTGAAAATCGTATGTGAAAAGACTCGTTAATTTAAATTGTTAGTCTTTACTTCATTCGTTTTACTTAAATTTGACTGTGTTTGATCACTTGTTGTTCCTGCTATCTGTTCATTCTATCTTGTCCTTTTTTGCCTAAATTTTTCGTTGCTTGCCTTATATCACCATTATGTTTGTTGTCATTTATCTCTTTACTTTTCGTTACTAGATTATATCAATATTTTGTTCACGTTTATTTTATATAGTAGGTTTCTTGACCTGGCCTCATCACTACTCTACCAAGGTTAGGCTTGACACTTACTGGGTACCGTTATGGTGCACTCATGTTATGCTTATGCACATATTTATGCAAATCTAGGTACTTCTGCTCATGTCGGACGCTAATGAGTTGACCCAGTTACTTTGGTGACTTCAACGTATACTTGTTTGACGCTCGCAGGCCTCGAAATCACCTTCTACTATTGTCTTACTACTGTTTATCTTCATTTCAAACATAGTTGTATTTAGAGATTACTAGTGCATTTTTCTATTGAGCTTATGACTCAGTTTCAACGATTTTAGAAATTATTTGACTGTCGTACCATTTGGGTTTTATTATGATAGATAATTAGTTTAATTTTATATCGTATCCATTAAATCTGTTAAAAATATCAATGTATGTTAGGCTTACCTAGTCTTAGAGACTAGGTGTCATCACAACACCCTAAGGTAGAAATTTAGGAACGTGACAAGAGGAGGAGGAAGAAGAAAAGGAAGAGGGAGAGGAAGAAAATGTAGAGAAGGATGAAGAAGAGGAGGAAAGGGAATAAGAAGAAGAGGAAGAAAAAGCGGCGGAAGAAGAAGAAGGAGGAGGAGGAGGCGGAGGAGAGAATGGTTACAAGGTGGAGAATCGAATTCTCACCAACCTAGTGGATCTTTTGACAAAAAAAAAATGAATTTCACCAACAAGGTAAAAATTCAGGTAGTCGATTAACTAGACTACAAAGGTTCCCTAGTATTAGGGATATTTATTGAAAAATCCAACGACATTTCTAGGTGATGCAACATAAATCTATCAGAACCATCAGTTTGCACAAATTGATGTTGGTATTCTTTCAATCTCAAGTGTTGGAAAATTTTGATTATGGAGAATAAAAATTATCAAAGCTTGAGGAGTGTCAAGGACACTATCCTTAATGATATTTTTCCTATACAATGATTAATAAAATTAGGTGCATCCCCAGGATTCAATAAGTTCTTCCAGTTATAAACTGGAAACAAAACTAGTATAAAATTCAATAAAGAAACCCAGCATAGAAGGAGAAGAAATAGAAAATAGTGTTGGAAAATCTATGTCATTATTCACTAGAGTGCCATATGTAGGAGGACGAAGAAGTTTCAGAAAAGTTTGTCTTTAGCTTTCCAAAAATCATGTTTATATAGGTGTTGCTTCAACAGTTAATTAACGATTAATTAGTGGAGAATTTCGAATAGCTAGTTTGTAACGGCTAGTTTGACTATTTCAAGCTGAGAGAAAGTAGATAAAAGAATAAGGAACATTTCCTTTTGAGATACCCACAAATTCTAACAATCCTCCACATATCTTAAAAAAATATTTAAAAAAAATAGTTGAGTACATTTTGCTGGATTTCATATATAATGGAATTTATCTGGTGTCTTATGGGCTATGAACCAGATATAGAAAAAATAAAATTTAACTTACAAAATAATTGGTGACATTGATAACTTTTATGAACCAATAAATTCTTGTGGTAAGCATTGTGACACTTCCTTTTTCCGAGGGGATAGGGGAATGTTTTCAATTAAAGTGACATTAATCGAAATGGGATTATTTGTTTAATCAGAGTTGCCACTAGGAATATTTATGGTGTCCCAAGTCACCAGTTTATTTTAAAATCCCAAATCGAGGAAATTGACTCTATTTATGTTCCGCGAACACAAAAGACCGGGTAAGGAATTCTGTTAACTCGGGAGAAGGTGTTAGGCATTCTCGAGTTCCGTGGTTTTAGCACGGTCGCTCAACTATTAATAATTGGCCTAATTATCTAAATTATTACATGTTTTAGAACCTTTTGTGCATTACCGCTTTTAGTATTTATGGAATATATTTAAATAAGTTGCAATGTCGCGCACCTATTGTTATCATGTGGAACGCATCCGCTATTCACAATATGTTAGATTTTTATTATTGTTTGACGTTCTAGTCGAGTCACGTGAAATGCACACTCGAATTGGGATTTACGTATCGTGACCATGCCACAGGAACCATACCCATGACCACGATAATTTATTATTCGCGTCTAAAGCAAGCTACGATGTTCATGATTAATTGATACATTTGAGATCAAGCGTGAAGGGCCAAGAGTTATGGAATGATTGTTGGAGAAACATCACGTGGATTAAATATGAAAAAGTATGCTTGTTACTAAAGGAGGGATAAGCCAGCAGCATGTTATCACGAAGTGGGCCTGGCATATGACTTATTTTCCTCATCGATTCATTTATGAAATGGGATCAAACTAACAGCCAGTGCTATTATAATCCCAATTCAATTTTCTGATTTCCTAAGACTAACAGATGGCCCAGCCAACGTAAATACTAACCAAACAGCGTACTAGTTTATAAAGCAACTCAAATCAACTTAACAAATTCATGGCAACTCTCACCCAGCTTCAGTTTCAAATTTAAGAATAAAACTAATAAAATTTTATAACAAAATAAGGATCTTAAAACATAACCATATAAACACGAAAGAAACAAACTATATGGAGAACTATTCGAAGATGCTAAAATTCTAAGGTAGAACATTACTCAACTAGAACTAACTGTTACACAAATGGCCACCTTCACGTTATTTAATACAAATTGGACTCATGGTCATGTTGAAACCTTTTCTAATTTTAATTTAACCTGAGAAATTCAATTTCAGATCCAGTTTTAAATGAACAAAATATCTGAATTTCAACACACTTGAGCGCAAATTAGTTGTCTTACAAGTGAAGACTTAACAGTGATTTAACAAAGAATTTTTTGCACACGGATTTATTCTAACTTTATGCATCATAGTAGTTCAACATTAATTCAAATTTGCAATTAGCAGCGATGAACTTTTTCAAACGTATAAGGAACAATCACTGCGAGTTTTATTGCAATATAGCATCTAAACAAAACTTACAGCATTTTCTGGATCGAAATTCATACCTGAATAGCAAACAAAAATCGAAAGCCAAATAAAGGCTGAAAACCAGACGTGATGTTGGAATTCAGCTACTGGACAGCAGAGAAAACAACAGCGAAATCAGCTCATTGGAAATTCGGAACACTCTTTGAAAAATTTTCAGATCTGAAATATTTGCGTTCCAGAGTCTTTGCTGCTCCTGGGTACGCGTATGTTTTCGTTGATGAATAATTGACCGAATGTGTGTAAGTGTGTGTATGTTCTTTGTTTTTTTAGAGTGAGGCTCCGTTCTCAAAAATGGGAATCAAGGAGGGGGTCCGCCGATATCTATGATGATGATGGAGAGGGAACTATGGTGTATTTTAGAGATGAAGGGGGATATTGGGCCGGCGGGTAGTGGGCTGGGGCGAATGGAAGGAAAATGGGTCACTAGAAGCATCTGGCCCAAAGATGTAATGAGACCCCATAGCCTTCTCTTTTCTTTGTTTGTATTTTGCAAGACTAATCAATTTATTTAACACTCTTAATTCCAACTAATTTGTAAAATTAACCTAATGACCTATTTTTCTACAATAAACTAATTCATTTAGCTAACCAATGCATGTAAAGTTACTAATATATTTTTTGGTATTTTAGTGTTTTACAAATGCAATTGATTATACAATTAAAATCTAAAAAATGTAAAAATTAAAAATATTTTTGTATTTTCTTTAGGATTTAAAATACAACTTAAAAATGCATCAAACATGAATACGTACAAAGCAAACTAAGTAAGAATATAGAAAAATAATTTAAAGCTATTTTTTTGGATTTTTTAGGAGTACTTTTATATTAGGGCAAAAATTAGGTGCTCACAAGCATAGGGATCTTATTCATCATATATTACACTCGCAAATATGCCATGTGCGCAAGCCTGGTTTAAATAAATGCTCTAAATATTTTGTCACAAATTTCATAGGAGCGACCGCACTTCACACTCATATAGGTACATCCATCAAGTATATTCCGCATCGCAATACACCACCATAGGTTGGGTTACCGTGTTGATATATCTCAAATTAACAAAAGTCTCATTACCCTCGATGTTTCACTTGCAAGTCAAAAGATCGGCCAAATCCTCTTTTGACTACACATGATGTGTATGAAAAAACTCTCATCTCTAAGCAATTATCTTATCATATTTTGTCTCAAAAGAATGTGTCTACTCTTTCCATTGAAAGATGATCTATTTTCTTAAAATGGTTATTGTGCCTTGGCAATCATAATTCATCGATACAAATATTGCCGATTTAATTCCTACTAGAATACTCACCAAAAGGTTGCTTAATCGGCCTCATTGCCACGCAATTCCGATACTATAACACCTCACAAAAAGATAATCACACAATCGCTAATGAGTTTTTTCTCATCTAAATTAGAGATTCAGTATCATCACTATATCCTTCTAATACAATGAAAAATTCACATATAGAATATTCACTCATAATACTTCTCAAGTAAGGCATAAAATCATCTCAAATGGAAAAAACAAATCATGACTTGCATACAAGTGTCTTTTGAAACATCTTTCAACATATATAAGAATTTATTTTCTTTTGATATATTCTACATTCAAATACCAAAATAAAATTTTCTAAACATAGAAGCAACTTTAACTACTACAAAAAAATCTCAAATTAGTAAAAAAACGGTTCATAATTCAACAATTTCTTCACCCAAATAACTAAGAGACCCAAAGCAAAATAAGTTTTTAGAGCCAAAATTACAACATACATTTTATCTTCCAATGCAGATTTTCGCCACAAAAAAAAAACTCAATTTGTAAGGCTTCAATATTATAATTTAAATAATTTTTTCTCATTTTCCCACTTATGTTCATGCTACATAACTGTTGACAATGCATTCCTGACCCCTACAGTTTCAAAAATTTCAGATTAGGGGGATAATCTTTCCATAACTCATAAGGAGTTTTACAAGATTTTCATAAGGAATTCTATTTTATAGATGAGAAGCTAATATAGCTTCACTCCAAAGATTATAAAATGAATTAACAAGCATGCAAATTATTATTTATTTTAAAAGTCCATTCTTCTTCTCACCTATCAGATTCAGAAGAATATGAAGGTCTTATCTATCTATATTATTTCTAACCATATCACTATCATTATAGTAGTTTATCCAAATTCTACAAAAATTTAATTTGACATATCCACCAAGAAAGTAGAATAAATATTCCTAGCAAAAATTAGTTACAAGGGGAATACAGAAAATAATCATGTCACTTCAATTCAATGCAAATCTACTTGTAGCTCAACTTGTTGTGTTACTCACAAAAAGACTCCACAGATTCAAGCTTTCATCTATCTGTTATACATCTTTGCAATTCCATTGAATCTATCTTATGATGTTTTAGTGTGTGAAGAACTATTAACAAACTGTACAGTTTCATCAAACATGGTTCAACTTCTTCTTCATGCTTAAGTACTACTACCCCATTCGTACTACATAGTCGGGTTGATAATGTAGGAGATAAGGGCGTGTAGTTACCTGCATTTTATACGCAGTTTTGCATTTATGAAATTTAATTTTTAGGAAGAACATCCTAAACTTTGGAGTGAACAATGCACCTTTAAAAGATGAACTTCTATCCATACCTTTGGAACTATGCAACAAAATTGTTCCAGAGAGCACAATAATAAAGCCACATATTCCTGATATAATGCTCCCGAGTCCCAACGTTCTGGTCATATCAGTCGGTGGCAAAGCCAAATATTTCTCCAAGTGTGTTCAAACTTGAAAGAAGTAAAAAAGCAATCACCGACAAAGGGTGTTCAATATATGTTATATACCTTTAAAACCTAATATTTTAATATATGCGCAGTGTATACCAGAGTGTAGGTTCACTCCTGGACTCCCAGTCCTGCAAATAATTCAGAATACAGAGCTCAAAAGGTTTTTTTAGTCAATGTGCAATTAGCTTCACTACCACCGCAAATGTTTTTCATTAGTCAGCATTTCTGAGTAAATGGAATTGTACAAACGATAATTTAGTATAGGGGAGACAACGGCAGAGTTGAAGCTATCTAAGGGCCTGAAACATGGAAAAAGAAAAGTTTTTAAAGCAGAAAATTAAAATGGTTTAATATTAAATTACATGTTATTGCACTATGAGGGTTGAAAAGAAATAGTTCTACACAAGATATATCACTTTAATCAAGAATTAAAAAGCATGATCACCAAAATTTAGCTTTTCTACGAAAATCAAAGTGTTGTCTTTGATTATTTTTTGTGGTTTCTTGGCACTTTGAGTTACCTAGAAGCTCCAACTATCTTAACTTTGATATTCGATGACTTGTGTGTACTTTTTTGTGATGTTAGATGTTTACCCAAAAAACGGATAGAATTGAATTTATACGTAGTTCTAAGGATACGTGATATAAATTGATACAAATTGGGAAAGATATGTAAATGAATATCAAAATTAGTTATAAAAGAAATGAATGCAAATCGAATGAACTAATTAGCCTAAACCTTCAAGTTTTATCACCTTCAAATTGAGTGAAGAATGATTGGTAGAAGAAACAATATGACTAAATATCAAAAGCCAAAAAAAATGATAGTATTTGCTCTCTTTTCTGTATATCTCAAAATGAATCTGTCCCTTCTACAAATGATAACAACTCTTAATATAGTGGGGGAATCCCATTTTGGAAATAATTAAAAATACATAGTGGGGATCCCATGATAGATTAATTAATTAGTTTTTTCTTGATTCAAGCCATGATTTCTGTCGAGATTCTCCCCCTAATTGCGGCTATAACGGCTTTTTTGTTTCTTGGCTCGATCTTTATCTTGGCCGATCACGATCCTGATTGATTTCTGGGGCTTGAGCTCGATCTTGGCCGATCTCTATTTGTTCGACCTCGATGTCTCGAGCTCGATCTTGGCCGATCTCGATCTAGATTAGTTTCTGGGGTCGAGCTCCACAACCAAACTCCGCATCATAGCTCGATATTACAATGACGAACCTTGGTCTATCTTGTTCCAATCTCGAAGGGCAAACCCGATTTTGACCGTATACAGATAGTCTCCTCGTTTCTCGGAAAGAAGATAGCGGGAAACGATATGAATTTTCGAACTCCAACTAGATGGGCAATGACATCAGCGACGAGCCCGATTGTGACGCATGCGACAAACATCCCGTCGGTCCAGTTACCAAGGTATTAAATGCGCGTCAATCGATGGTCGGCCACTACCAGTTTTGAACCATCATTGTGAAACCAATAAATAGGCCCCTTCTTCATCATTTCAAACTTTTACTTTCAAAACTTTTTCATTCCAATCTTCATAGATCTTTGCCTTCTCCAAAGCTTCCTATTTCCAGGCTTTCAAATTTCTTTGCTTGTTCTTCCTAAAATACCAAATACTTCAATCTCCATTCTTCTTTGTTCACAAAAACTAAATGGCCAAAACATCTAAAATCGTTCCGCAGAAAGAGTTTGCTTCCTCATCTCGGCCGGCCAACGAGAAACTAGTGGTGGAGCCACACCTTGAAGAACTTATTCCCGGGGTATGTGTTATTGATTCTGACTTTAAGGTGGAGAAACCCTCATCGGTTGCTAGTCGATGCGAGTCGGTATCGAGATATATATGCTCGATATTCCAAAGCCTTCTCGATCTGGTGAAGAAAGATTGCAATTGGGAAAACAAAAAGGTTGTGATACCGGCATCGGAGGAAGCGATCACTACCCACGTGGAAGGGTACCTGAGTGTTTACACTTATCCTTTCATGCTGGGTCCCCTCGATCCGGTCATCGTCGATTTTTGCAAGAAATACCAGGTGACCCTCTGCCAAATTTACCCTTCTTTCTGGAGGATTGTGATACTGCTCAATTTCTTCGTGAGCAAAATTGACGGGCTTCCCTTTACCCTCGACCACCTTGTAAGATTATATAGCCCTCGACTCTACCAAGGTGGGCTGATAAAGCTTCAACATCGGGCCACCAAGGCATTCACCTCGAGTACAAATGAAGACAAAGATTGGGGCTGGATAGGCCGGTTCGTTCAGATTAAGACCACGGACCTAATCCCGGCTGAGAGCATGCCATTTCTTGAAAAATGGAATATGAAACGTAAGTATGATCCCGTCTTTAATTTCCGTTTGTTGTTTTCACTTCTTCATCCTTTCTTATCAGTGTTTTTATCGATGCAGCCATTGATTGGATGACGGGTGTGGTTCCCTACCTCGAGAACTGGGTCAGGAGCCTGGTTTCAACGTCAACATACGTCGAGCACGCGTGGCGTGATTTGTCAAAGG